AAATTATTATGAATTTATTATGAATAAATATAAAGATAACATTTTCCCCCTTCTTTTTCTTCAGAGAGTTCTGGTGTAGTAGTCCATAGGGAGTTGCACTACTAACCAAAGGCCATGCCTCTCTGTTGGCTCGAACCCACCAGGAGTCCAACAGCAGAAAGATGGGCAATCTCTTCCCAAACAATTCACTGCCTCCTGAAAATCCCCTAAAGGGTCCTACCCGATGGCAATGAGTTGAACTTGAGTATGGATTTTTTTAAATAAACGTATTAAAAGCATCAATGTCAGTCTAGAGACTAAGGCATGCCTAATGCAGGCCATGGCCTCCACAACTACTTGCTGTGCATCAGAGTGCTATATAGTGACTAAAGATGGCAGAAGAATTGATGCCTTCAAATTGTGGGAGGAGTCTTGAACATACCATGGACTGCCAAGAAAACAAATAGATCTGTCTTGGAGAGAGTGAAACCAAGTTTATCCTTAGAGGCTAGGATTTTGAAGCTCTATCTCACATTCTTTGGACACATGGCCAAGAGAGACTGTTCCTTGGAGAAGGGTACCATGTCCAGAAGGTGGAGGGACAGTGCAGGAGAGGAAGGCCCGGGCTGAGATGGATTGATACAGTGATTAGGGCTATAAGTCACGTTCATACCTTTGCAGGATGGGATGGGTGTGTCAGAATCAATGAGACTAGCTCAGGACAGGGCATGGGTCAGAGCTGCTCTACATAGGGTCATTATAGGTTGGAGGTGACTCAATGACACATAACAACAACAACAATTATCAAATTGTTAAAAAGTAATATACTTTTTAATAAACACAGTAACATTTGACTTGAACCCAAATGTTTTATTCAAGAGAAATTAATTTCTCCTTAAGTTATCTTTCTCCAAGCTGTGCTGTGCTGAACTGTGAGCTCAGGTGGCGTGGTCCATGGTGAACTGCACTGCTAACCAAATGCTGAAGTCTCACATGGTTTGAACCCACCAGCAGTCCAGTGGGAGAAAGATGGCCAGTCTCCTCCTATTGTGATTTACATAAAGCCAGAATCCACCGGAAGGCAGAGAGTATGTGTTTTTCTGAAAGTTGGTCTACACCTGTACCTGACATTGTACTTCTTTATCTGATAACATGTAAATTTTTTAAATTTTTTTTTAAGTAACTAATCCTAAGAAGTTGGATAGGGCGATAAGAAGATCAAACAGTGAGGGTAGGAAAGTCAACACAGAAATTTATTTGTAGGTTGGTCATTATTCTGGGTAACTCAGCTCCATCATGCCAGGTTCTTCTGAGGTGCCATGCATGCAGGGCTCTTGCATTATCTGACTGAGGGAAGGGAAGGAAATGGAAGGAAAGGGAAGTCACAGTTGCTGAGCAGGCCATCTGACTCTGGCCCCATGTGTGTTACTATAGAACTTCCCTTCATATGATTTTCAATGGCGCTTTTTTTTTTTTAACCAGATGAGCAGGCCTGTCCTATCATCTCTATCTGGGTAGATTTATATCACCAACCTGGTGTTTAGCACTTAAGTGTTTGTACCCACCCAAGGACCCCTGAGGGAAGGGTGTGGGAGGGAAGGCCATTCATGAGCTTCTGTTGACCACTCACTGATGAGGGGTGTCCTTCCACACTGAGACTATGAGTAAAACAGCTCACATAGGATGCAGTTAGGCTATGTTTGTGAAAAACTGGTTCTTGTAGCAGTTGCAGTAACAAAAACTTTGCTTAGAGGAAGTGAGGCAAGGCACCAAGAGAGCTGACTGCCAGGACTATGCATTTTTCTGGACTGTTTCAGAGCCTAACAGCACATGCTTCTTTTCTTTACTTTACACTAAATAAGTGCTGCTAATAATGATAAGTTCTTACAATAATATGGATTGAAAAGTAATTGTGAAGGAACGTTGGAGATGATGACGACAGCACAGGATAAGGGAGGTTCAAATCTGTAGTTCACAGGGTAATTATGAGCTGCAAGCAACTTGATGACACCTAACAACAATGACGTTTTCCGTAGATATTAGACTCTTAGATATAAAAATAGAAATCCCATTTGACCCAGCAATTCCACTCCTGGGAATTTACCCTAAAGAAACCATAACTGCCACCCAGGAAGATATATGCACACCCACGTTTATTGTGGCTTTGTTCACAATAGCAAAGAGTTGGAAACAACCCAAGTTGCCATCAACAAACGAATGGATAGAGAAGCTGTGGTATATTCACACAATGGATTACTACACTGCATTGAAAAACAAGGAACTCATGCAGTATTATTCAAAATGGGTGACCCTGGAGGACATTATGCTGAGTGAAATATCTCAGTCACAAAAGGACAGGTGCTGCATGGTGCCACTATTATAGAATGAAACTGACATCTGGGTTGGAGTGAGACTGAGAAAAAATGGATAAATTATGTATACTGCATTGAAACAGATGAGGGAGAGAACTGTTTGAAAGTGATATATGAATGGGTATTATGGTTATGACAAGAGTCCAGAATGAAGGTTGCATAGTGGAGTGTACTTGGGGCGGTGGGGGCGGGAGGGAATTCTATACCAATGAAATAATCCTAAGAACTGGGGGGAGGGGTGGGCAGGGAGAAAAATGCAACAATGAATGTATGGAAATCCAAAATATCTGTAAATGTTCATTAAAATTAAATTTTAAAAAATAAAAAAACCCAGACTATTTTCCTTTTATTCTTAGTCTATTTATTCTACTCCTACCACCTACCTCTGACTGGTGGCTTAGTGATAAGAAGTTGTGTTGTCAACTCAAAGGCAGGTAGTTTGAATCCACTGTTCTATGGGAGAAAGATGGGAAGTCTCCTCCTGTGCAATTCACTACCTCTGAAAACCCTCTGGAGGTTCAGCTATGAGTACATTCAGAGTTGACAGTCCCTAAAAACATAGTCTAGAAGTTGTCATCTCAAGTCAAGACATTTTAAGGCAGGAGTAGAAAAAAAAATTTGGTCTTTTGACTGGTGTAAGACAAAGACAAAATCATCACCTTCGGGGTCAGAATGGAGGCATAGCTGACCCTCAAGCAGGTTTTTGGGGGCTGTAAATTCCATAGCAGAAGACAGGCCATCCTTCTCTCTCACAGCCACCAGAAAGGCACTACCTTCTATGCAACTCCCTAAAGACTATGCCATCAGAGCTCTCTCATGACTATCTAATGACACTGTTAAAGTGCAAAACAGCCATTCGATTTTAACAGAAGATTGAACTTTTTGGTGATGGCTGTTGTTTTCCTTTTTAACACATTATAAAGCCCTCTGGTGTATACAAGAAGAAATGAAATCTTTATCCCAAACCAATCCAGTTTTCATTCTTTAAGTCCTTTTTTCTGTAGTCAGATGAAGCTTTGAAAAAAAGCAAACTATTATATGGAGCACTGAACATCCCATAGACAGCCAAGAGAACAAATAGATGTATCTTGGATAGGGTGGAGCCAGACTGCTATTTGGAGGCAAGAATGATGAGGCTTCACCTCACATACTTTGGATATATTGTTAGGAGGTACTATTCCTTGGAGAATATGATGTTGGGGAGGGTGGAGGGTCGGCGAAGGAGAAGAAGACCCTCCACTAGGTGGATTGACATGGTGACTGCTGCAATGGGCTCTTGTGTGTCAGCAAGTGTGAGGATGGTGCAGGACAGAACAGGGTTCAGAACTTTTGTTCATAGGGTCACTATGAGTCATACTTGACTCAGTGGCACCTAACAACAACTACAAAATATTTTACTGACAAGCATTATGCTTGACACTCACTAAGTGAATCCTAAAATGTAAAGGATTTACTAAAATTACTTTTATCTACCTGGAAAAAAAAGGCTTCTTTCTGCATACAACAACCACAGTAGCATCTGACTGACATGAACACTGACTAGACCAAAGGACAGTGGGATGTAAGGGTCTAACAAACCTGGTCTCCCTCAAATTTAGAATTCCATTAAACTTAGAAGTTTGCCTCATTACTGGCTATTTCACTAAGACAACCTTCGCATGATAGATTATCTCCTTTTTTATTGATAACTGAAAATGAAAACAAGCTAATATAGTTCTTAAATGTCCAAGATGTCAATTCTTATCTTTTTTTTTTTTGTGTGTGTGTGTGTACCATTGAATCAATTCTTATCTTAAAGGAATATCTAGCACTGAAATTCCATTTGCATCTGACTCCATCATAGAAAAAAATGGGTCATATATAGCATATACTTTGTAATACACTGGGT